TAGAAGGTGGCCATGTCCAAAGAGGTTGGACACTCCTCAAGCATATTAAGAGTGAGTTCTGCCAGACACGGTGGCTCAGGCCTGGAATCCCAGCATTTTGGGAGGCAGAGGCGGGCAGATCGCGAAGTCAGAAGGTCCAGACCAGCCTGACCAACACGGCAAAACCCCATCTCTACTAAAAAAAATACAAAAAAATTAGCCAGCTGTGGTAGCGCAGTCCTGTAAACCTAGCTACTCAGGAGGCTGGGGCAGGAGACTCCCTTGAACCTGGGAGTTGGAGGTTGCAGTGAGCCGAGATTACGCCATTGCACTCAAGCCTGGACAAGTAGAAAAAAAAAAAGAGTGAGTTCCATAGAAATGGTGATTTTATTTTTGTGTATCTGTGTGTAGCCCAGACTCCACCATCCAGTGCTATAAACAGTTATATTTGTCTGCAAAGCCCAAAACCTGATTCTTTGAGACCCCCATAGCATTAATTATTGCAAATTTGTCCCCCTCAGGGGTCTTCCAGCTATTCTGTAGGGTGACCAACCATCCCGGTTTGTGCAGGACTGAGAGGTTTTCCAGGATGCAGGACTTCCTGTTTTACTCTGGGACCATCCCAGGCAAATAAAGCCGAGTTGGTCCCCCTGTCTTATCAATGTAAACTCAGAGAGCTGTGTCCTTTCAGCTTCCACAATAACTCAGTTTGTTTTTAGCAATGAACACACATTTGTTTATAACAATAAGCATTAACATTATGTATTAAAAATGATAGGCCAGGTGCCATGGCTCATGCCTGTAATGGCAGCACTTTGGGAGGCCATGGAGGGAGGATTGCTTGAGCCCAGGAGTTCAAGACCAGCCTGGGCAACATAGCGAGACTCTGTCTTTAAAAAAAAATTTTTTTAAATGACTCAGGCATGGTGGTGCGTGCCGGTAGTCTCAGCTACTTGGGAGGCTTGGGTGGAAGGGTCACTTGGGCCCGGGAGGCCAACGCTATATTGAGCCAAGGTCACACCAATGCACTTAAGCCTGGGCAACATAGCAAGACCCTGTCTCCGAAAATAATGATAATAATAACTGGCATCAATATTAAGGAGCAGCCGTGGAGACACACAGCAGTCGGTGAAAGCAGCCAGAACAGGAGACCCCGTCACAAGAAAGAGGTGGCTGGTGGCTCAGGCCTGTAATCCCAGCACTTTGGGAGGCCAAGATGGGTGGATCACCAGAGGTCAGGAGTTCGAGACCAGCCTGGCCAACACGGGGAATCCCCGTCTCTACTAAAAATTCAAAATTAAGCTGGGTGTGGTGATACGTGCTTGTAATCCCAGCTACTCAGGAGGCTGAGGCAGGGGAATCACTTGAACCTGGGAGGTGGAGGTTGCAGTAACCCAAGTTCACGCCACTGCACTCCAGCCCGGGTAACAGAGCGAGACTCCATCTCAAAAAAAAAAAAGAAAAACCACAAAAAAAAGAAACGGGTGCCCAGGAGAGGGCAGAGGAGCCACCATGCCTGTTACTGAATGCTGAGAGGGAAGAGTCGGACACTCTGTGCCGACGAAGGACCACCTCAGTTTCCTCTTCTATAAAATGGGACTTGAACTAGACAAGGACCCCTCCACTATTTAGGCGCTACAGCAAATGGGAGTTATGGTATTTGTGGCAGAGCCCCCAAAGAAGGGAAAGCTGGCATCTGACTTCACTAACTTTAATTTGCAGAGAAGTGTTCATTAAACTGACACTTATAAAACCAAATATGAAGCTGCAGCCATGAGCACGTGGTCACAGGAGGAAACTAAACTGTCAAAATAAGCAGGTGGCTGCTTCCAAGTGTTCCCACTGATTCTTGCCAGCTCCTTGTTCATTTGTCTGTCTGCTGGCATCTTTTTGCCAACAAGTGGTCACAGGCAGAGATTCTGAAAACGTTTGTTGGAGAAAAATGCAAAATCAAAAAGCCAGTAGCCATTAATCATTACTTGGTTCTTTTTTATATATAAATTGGGGAAAATCCATCTGAGTCCACCTTTGGAGGCGCCACCCACAGGTCAAAGGAGCCTGGCCTGAGACTGACTGGATGAAAGGCTGCTTAGGGGCCTTTCCCAGCCAAATCCTAAGATACTTTTCCAGCCCCAGCTGCTGTGGGAGTCACCGTACAGCTGGTCCTGGCAGCACCTTGGGAACCTGAAGTAGGGACAGGGCAATTGTCCCAATTTTTTTGTCCCAGCGTTAGCTGTTCCAAGCCACAGACACAAGCACAACAGAGCAGGCCAGATCCCAAAGCATGGCCAGATGGCAGCAGGGATCCACGGGTCATCACGCCTCGCGAGGCAACTGGGCAGAGTCCCTGTGTTCGTGGGAGAGCAGTCGGGGCAGGCCAGGTGCCCAGTAACAGGTTCAGAAGGGGGAGAGTCAAGCAACCAGCTGTCCTTGGGTGGGGGCTGCCCCTGGCAGCGGCAGAGGGGCTCATGACAACTTGCAGTGGCCCCAACCCAGGGACACACTGTGTGCAGGCTGGAGTCACATACCACTAGAGCCCTGGGGGTGCCTGAGATCACCTGCCTGGATAAACCCAGACAGGTGACAAGCCAAGGTCAGGAAGTACAAGCAAAAGAGCAGAGAAGCAGAGAAGACAAGTGGCCCGGGGCATTCATCCTTTCAACAAATGTCCATTGAATGACAGTCACACGTGAAACTTCAGCAATACTTAGCTTTTATTCTTTTTCCAGAAGATAATACATCCTCTGTGTAAAAATATTAAAAGAATATAAGAGTGTATCAAGTAAAATGTATCAAGATGTCCCGCTCATTTTACAACTCCAATTCCACTCTCCAGAGGTAATCATTGTTTTTGATTTTGTTTTCAAACGGAGTCTCGCTCTATTGCCCAGACTGGAGTACAGTGGCTTGATAGCTCACTGCAACCTCTGCCTCCCAGGTTCAAGCAATTCTCCTGTCTCAGCCACCTAACTACCTGGGATTACAGGCATGCACCAACATGCCCAGGTAATTTTTGTATTTTTAGTAGAGATGGGGTTTCACCATGTTGGCCAGGCTGGTCTCCAACTTCTGACCTCAGGTGATCTGCCCATCTCGGCCTCCCAATGTGCTAGTATTACAAGCCTGAGCCACCGCACCCAGCCAATGATTGATAAAAGCTTGGTGTGTGGTCTTCTCAACTTTATGTGCATATGTATCTATATATATAAAGAGAGAGACACTGTCTTCTGAGCAAAAATAGGATCTGAGTCTTCAAACTGTTCTACAGCTGTTTTTCACTTAACACCTTATCACATTTTATATGTCAGTACGTACATGTCATTCTTTTGAACAGCTAAATAGTATTCCATAGTTTGAGTATAATTAATGAAGCTTTCATGTTTCCTATTTTTCACTCTTACATTGTGCAATGAACATCCTTGAACATAATTCTTGCACACTGGTCTGAGTGTTTGTGCTGTAGCAGCTGGATCTCCTGCCGTTTACAGCACTGGATCATGAAGTTGGCATATCAAAATGTTTAACAGGCCGGGTGTGGTGCTTCACGCCTGTAATCTCAGTACTTTGGGAAGCTGAGGCGGGTAGATCACTTGAGGTCAGCAGTTCAAGACCAGCCTGGCCAACATGGTGAACCTTGTCTCTACTAAAAACACAAAAATTAGCCGGGCGTGGTGGTGCATGACTATAATCTCAGCTACCCGGGAGGCTGATGGACGAGAATCACTTGAACCTGTGTGGCGGAGGTTGCAGTGAGCCCAGATCGCCCCACTACACTCCAGCCTGGGAAACACAGTGAGACTGTCTCAA